ATACCCTACTACTTTGCTGAATTTTTAGCCCACCAAAATCAACAAAGGCAAAATAATAAGTGAGTGAAGAAGAGAGCAATTAATATGAAAAAAATAATCTGTGTGTGTTTATRTGTGTGTGTGTGTGTGTGTGTRTRTGTGTATGTGTGTATGTGTGTACACGCATGCGTGTATATATAGTCTAACCTATCCACACAGTGAGAGTGCCCCCACGCACAGACTTGTGGGTACACACATACAATTGTACAGAATGGAAAAAAAAAACCCAAACAAACAAAAATTTTAAAAAAGAACAGAAAATTTAAAAATATAATAAAAAAAGAAAAGAAAAGAGAATTGGGAAAGAGTCCTCAATGAGAAACACAGGGCTTGTTTCCATGGAGGTGATCAGAACTGTTGGCRAGGGTGGAGTTTAATTCTCTGTATTGAGTTTGGGGCCCTGTAACCCTTGGTCAAGGACTGGGGTTGCCAAGTCCAGCATCTTTGGTGCCTCCCCATTGTGGCCAGGAGCCAGTGCTGGTGGTAGTAGCTCCCAGCTTCCTGTCTCCAGGGCAGGATAGGGAGGCTGGCGGCTGGGTGCCCTGGCACACACCTGCTGGGCGGTGCCTGATCTGGTGGGTGCTCCCTGGGGGGCTGGTGCAGAAGTCTACTGAAGTTCCAGTGCTGGGGTTTGACTTGGCTGATGTTGGGATGGTTTGGTGGGTGAGATTTGACCCACACCCTCTGTTGCTGGGGAGGGCCAATCTGTGCTGGAAGGTCAGGTGTCAGGGGAYTTCTGCAGCTGGCGCTACCAGCCAAATGATTTTCATTACCTTTCAGACAACAGCTTCCACTGCCATTTCTGGGTCCCTCTCTGTTCCAGAGGTTCCTCTAARCCAGGCTTTATTATTTATTTATTGTAGCAGGGATGGAACCCAGGGGCCCTCAACCACTGAGCCACATCCCCAGGTTCTCTCTAAGTTGCTTAGGACCTCGATAAGTTGCTGAGGCTGGCCTTGAACATGTGATCCTCCTGCCTCAGCATCCYGAGCCTCTGGGATTACAGGTGTGTGCCATCACACCTGACTCCAAGCGAGTTTTATTCACCTGCTTTCCCCTCTCTCTGCCTGTGCTCCCCTCCCCTCAGCAGTGGGCTGGTGGCACTGATGCCATTATTTCTAATATTATGATCAGAGTTTCTGACTTTTTGTCTCCATGATTATTTTGCTTCCCAGTGTTGACTCCAGTGATTTCTCATAGTCACCACCTTGCCTAGGAGCAGTTTGCCGGCTTTTTAAGTCATGAGTTGAGGAACTGGTGCAGAGYGCACCCGTCCTCAAACCTGCCATTGCTCAACCTACGTTTCTCCTTTGCTAGCAAATTATTAAGACCTCTTGCTTCTTCTCCAAACCTGTCCTAGCTATGGGAGTGGCATTGGGCACAAGGCCAAGCTTTGGGGATCACAGCAATGCTTGCAGCAGAATATTTAATTATTAAGAAACTGATGCTGGGACTGGGGTTGTGGCTTGGTGGTAGAGCACACACCTAGCATGTGCAAGGCCCTGGGTTCAATCCTCAGCACCATATATACATAAATAAATAAAGGTTAAAAAAAAGAAAAAATGATGCTGCATGGAGAAATAGCAGCTCGGGGTCACCCAATGCCGCCTGTTGCTCCCCAGGAGGATCCTGTCCACCAGGTGGCCCAGGCAGGGCTGCTGTTTCTAGACTCTGCCCCCTAGTKGCCAGGGGCTGGGTTCCTGGGAAGGGAGTTCTGCTTTCTGGCACAAAATGGTTGCTTAATACATATAAGACACTATTAGCTTTTGCTGTGATTAAAGAGAAATACCAGCTTGTGAAAACCCCTGACTACTTTGATGACCTCACTGGTTAACCTCACTTAAAAGTGTGACCTTCCCCCTAAAGGCCAGGCTAGTTCCTGGTCTTCAGTAGCTGCCCACTCCTCCCACAGTGAACATTATGCAGAAAGCAAGAGGCTCTGA